AAAAAGAAGTGTGAAGTGCCACGGTTTTGCGAGTGAGCCATGTTCCCTCTACCCCCTTCCTCCCTTCGACCCTGCGTGTGCATTTTTGTGGACCGCGCTCGCTCTCTCAAGCAGGTAGAGGGTGGGGGGGCGGGCGGGGCGGGGGCGGTTTGCCGCGAATCTTTGCTGCCAGAGCCCCGACACCTGTACCTTCTCGCATTCATGTAGTAGGTCCCCCCTCCTCCCGTGCCGCATCTTGCTCTGCCCAGGTCCTGTGAGTGGCTCTTCGTTGACATCGTTTACCGCGCCGCGCTCCTGGGAAGGGTTCGGAAACTCCGGATTTGTTGGACTTGGGGGCGGGGGGCTCCTCGACCCCTCCTGAAGCCTTGAAGGTACCCGACAATCTGAGGCAGCGCCTCTCTTGCTTGCGATGAAAGCCATGAAGGCGATGAAGGCGATGGCGATGAAGGCAATGGCGATGAAGGCGATGAAGGCCATGCAGACGACGAAAACCATGGAGGCGAGGCCCTGAACCGATGAAGGCTCGATGAAGGCCATGAACAGTATGAAGGCCTCAAGGCCGATTTTGCAAATGATTTGGCCCCTCTGCTCCCCATAGGATCCGTCTTGAAACACGGACCAAGGAGTCTAGCATGTGTGCGAGTTTCAGGTGTCAGACCTCTGTGCCTTAGTGCCTACTGGGTTTTTTGCACCAGCAACCAATTGGGACAAGTTTGAGTAAGAGCATGTGTGTTAGGAGTTCGGACTGGATAGATGCTGAACTATGCCTGGGAAGGCGTGCAGATCGTTTGGCATTGGAACAAATTCAACTCCCGAACCTTTTGTTGAACTTCTCTGCCGCGCGCGCGGTTCAAGTCTGTTTGGGCGGGGGGGAAAAGGTAACTTTGCGATCGGGGCTGGCCGGGGTTGCGAAGACGGTGCCTCAGTTCACTACCGCTGAGTGCAAAGCGCACCCCCTCAGACAATCCCTCAGACCCGAGCCCGCAGCCCGTCCCCCAAATCCTTAGTCACCTTAGTCCCGACCCAGGTCCGGAGTGAGGCTTTTGGACTTCTTCTTCGAGCTCTGCCCGGCCCTTCTTCAGGTATCAAACCTCTGTGCCTACTGGGCTTTTTGCACCAGCAACCGACCAATCAATTGGGAGAAGTTTGTGTACGAGCATGTGTTTTAGGACCAGAGTCAAGGTAAACTCTTGAGGCTAGAAGCTGCACTCAAGTTCATCATACATGCGGTTGGTCCCGACCCAGGTCCGGAGAGAGGAGAGTTTGGTCTTCTTCGAGCTCAGAGGCGAGCAGTGCGTGAGAGTGCCTTGTGACCCTGTTGGCCCCCAACTTTGTCCTTCCTCAGACCCTTCAATCCGAGTGGGGGTCCAAGAGCCCGCCCCCAAAACCTCAATAGTCTGGTGTCAGGAGAGCCTCTGCCCTGTGATTGAGAAGGAGATGAATTGCAACCTCGTGCAATGTGACAGCTTGTCAGCCTCAAGACAGCAAGCTTTGCAGGGGCACCTGCAATCCAAGGCCTCGAAGGCCCTCCATGGCCAACCAATTTCTGTGCCGATTTGCGATCTTGAGCAGCGGAGTTTGTATTCAGGCGTCATTCCAACTTTGCTCACCCACTGCTTCATCGTGCGTCTTCCGAATGATTCTGGAAGCCCTGTGGAAGTGCCAACACTGAACAAGCATGGTCTGTTGGATGTCATGCTGTGGCCTGCACGGTCACCTCTGCGTTCAGCAGACATGTCGGAGACATGTCGGAGACATTCGCAAAGCACGTGGTAGGAAACTCCATGCACTTGTTGTCCGTGGGCCCGATGATTATGTACCTGCTGGCCAATCTAGTGCCCCGAGAGGTTTACAAGCCATTTGCTTCGGAAATACCGTCTGCTGCGGATTTGCCATGTGAAGACACAGAGCCTGAGAGTGAGACAGAGAAGTTCTCCTCCTCCCCACCGAGGAAGCTGAGAAGACAAGGCGGGAAAATGTTCTCCAGTCCTGAAGTTGCAAGTCCACACGACACTGCCAGCTCGGCAGTGACTCCTGGCAGAGAAGACAAGAAGGCCACTGACAGTGATGGAGAGGAAGCATGCGTGGCGTGGAGTTACTTTTGAGTGAGACAAGTTTGTAAACTTTGCAGGCGGCAGTCATTTCCGAGAGAGTGCAAAGGGGAATACAAAGAAGCACGCCTTGCAAGGTCGGCCATTCTTGTCGCAAGCGTGGCAGCATGTTGTCTGTTGCTTGGCAGAGCTGCTTGCTACTTGCTGCTGACATTCTGATGCCGACATTCGCCGCGCGCCTGTTCTTTGATGACAGACAGACATGGTGACATGGTTCATGATGCAAGGACACGACAAGAACACCCTTTCAAGGGAGTCTTTCATTTCGTCTTGCCTGAGCCGGGGTTGGCAACCAGACCTTCTTGTCAGAACTTCTATTCTAGTCAAGTCTGGGTTTCAGGCTTCAGGTTATGAGGATGTCAGCTTTAGGATGTCCTGTAGCCCGACAGGGCAGTGTAGTGCCAGCGCAGACTCGGCGAAGACGCCAGGTCAAGTGTGCAGTAGTCTAAACCCCTGCCTGGGTAGTAAGCTTACACCCCGAGTGGGTAGTGCTACTGGCGCAGACAACTTGCTTGGAGTGTTATCTTGGAGCATCTGAAGTGACTGCCGGCCACCACTGCTGGTGGCCTTGTCACCCGTGCGTGAAGCATGGACTTTGGAAGCATTGGAGATAGTGAAGGCCAGGCCTGCACTTATCTAGTTCCTGGATTCCTGGGCTCTTGACGTGCCTCAACAAGCTTTGCAGAGTTGTTTTTGACTTGAGACAGACCTGCATGGATAAACTTTTGTCCAAGCTCTGCTAACTTGTATGGGCAAACATCATGCACTTGAAAAGTGGAACTGTTGCCTTGTAAAGCCGAAACATGAGCACACTGTCAATTTTGAGAGCCGACATGTGAGCACAGTGTGTTGTCTTGTTGACCGGGTTGAGTCCCTGGGTACAGGAAGCCCGAGCCCGGCGCGGAACAGAAAGCGCAAAGTCAGAGCCGCAGGACTGGACGAGGAGGAGGAGACGGCCACAACCGAGGGCGGCCCGGCCCAGCTGTGTGACATGTGTGAACGCCGACCAAGAAAACCTCGCCAGAAAAGATGTGGCCTGTGTCTCAGCGACGTCCAGGCCACAAGAAGAGACGCGAGCAGCCAGGGCAGGTCCGCCCTTTTCACCAGCCTGCTCAAGGCTTGTGGCAAAGACCTACAAGATTTTTTGCACAGCTTTGTGCGAACGCAAGGCTTAGAAGGTCACGGAGAAATGTGCGTTTTGAAGTCATAACATCAGACTGCCTTGTGTCTATTTTCGTTCGTTCCCTTCGTTTGTTTTTAGGAATACTTGTTGCTGGCATTCTGCTCTTGGATTTTCTGGTATAGAATTTGTCGTTCCGCAGCGCCCTGCATCCCAAAGCTAAAGCTCCGTGCCATTCAGCATCCCCTCGTTGCCGCCCTTTGCGCACCGCGCCAATGGCGTGCCGCGCCGCGACGCCGGGCTGGTTGGGAAGTATAGAACGTTGCGGGTTTTTTTGTTTTTTCTCTTTTGGTCGGTGGAAGAACATCTGGATTAGGTCTTCTGGGCTTGTAGCAACTCGCGCTTTTCTTCGGGTTGGAGAAGGGGGGAGGGGGGGGGGTTTCGGGAACCGAGGACCATCGAACAAGGCTTGCCTTGCGCCATGCCCGAGGATAAGAGCCTGATGTACGAGGACGATCCCCGCGCACCCCGCTGCCCAGGACGCGGGGCGTGGCGGGATTTTTGGTTTGTCTTTTTTATTGAATAAATCTTTTAGAGGTGTTCTTTTGTTTAGGATTTCGGCTTCCGTGTTGCGAGGCAAGCTCTACGCGTTCACTGGTTCTGCATGGACCGATGAGTGATCGCAATACGTACCCGGGAAGGGCATATCTTAGAAAGTCTTTCTGAGTAGATTTCGAGGCGTTCCTTTTTTTTGTTTGTCTGGGGAGGTGTGTTCCGGTCTGGAGGACGTAAGTTTCCCGATATAGGAAGGTATAAGTTTCTTCTCCGCCTCCCCTTCTCCAACTCTAAGGTTTGCGACAAGTGCGGGGCGCGCCAGGGCCCAGTCGAGGCGGCGCGCTACATAGACGCTACGGAGGTGGACGCTGATTGGAGCCTGAGCGACGTCTGTCACGACGGCAAGAATCTCACGGAGCTAAAGTTCTGGGGCGTAGGGCCTCCACAGGCAGAGCCGTCGCGGCACTGGTTGAATCGGGAGACTCGCGCCAAGCCCGCTTTGGAGGGCGAGCCTCCCGAAGGATTCTGGGACGCGATGACTTTGCTAGTGGACATGCGTGAAAAAACGCTTGTGATGACACTGGCAGAGCGGCGGTCCTACCACAAGTACTTAATGTGGATGGACCCGGAGACGCGGGACCTTTACCGGCATTATCCCGTCGTTGACCCGCCGAAGAAGCGGAAGCAACCGGGGGACAATGCCGGTGAAGTTCCGAGCAGCTCCAGCAGGCGGACACACTACAGCAGAATGTCTATTGTAGTTAGGCAGCAATCAGGTCGTTCACGGTTCAGGGAAGATGTGTCCGCCTTGTGTACGCAGATTGAAACCCTAAACCCTAAACCCTAAACCCTAAACCCTAAACCCTAAACCCTAAACCCTAAACCCTAAACCCTGAACCCTGAACCCTGAACCCTGAACCCTGAACCCTGAACCCTAAACCCTATAAACCCTAAACCCAAACGGGGGCGTCGCCTCAGTGGATCTGCAGTTCGGGCTTTTGATGTCCACATGGGGGTTGCTTCACATTGAGGTCCGCAACTTGTTCGTCTTAATTCAGGATCCCCATTTTCCCGCAAGAAAGGGACTCCTAATGCCCAAAGCCCTAAACTCTATGTAACGTGCAGCCTGTACCCTAAAACCCGAAGCCCTTAAACCCTAAACCCTAAGCCTTGTAAGCCCTAGACTGGAACGAGCAGCCTTTTAGCCTTCTCAGGCTAAGCTGCAGGCGGAGCACCTCGGCGCTGAAGCCTCCACTACGTATTCGGCGACCCTAAACCCTAGCCCCTAGCCCCTAGCTCCTAAGCCTTGAACCCTAAACCCGAAACCCGAAACCCTAAACCCGAAACCCTAAACCCTAAACCCTACCAAGGTTCATGGTTTGGGGCCCTTCGCGCCCCGCAGCCCGCAGACTCAGGTGCAAGAAGAGCAAGGAGGCTGTGGAGGCGAAGCTGAACAGCATGCAGCAGGCGGGCTGCGCGTGAGGGTTTAGGGTTTAGGGTTTAGGGTTTAGGGTTTAGGGTTTAGGGTTCAGGGTTCAGGGTTTAGGGTTTAGGGTTTAGGGTTCAGCATTCAGGGCTTACGGGTTTAGGGTTTTGGGCTCTAGGGCCACCCATTACACCCCTAAAAAGGGTGCAATGGGCCCACTTGTGGCTTTCATGGGCAGGTAGGGTTCAATTTTGTCTAGGCAAGCCTTATAGCCCAAAGCCTGAGGAGAGCGAGGCCACCCAGAAGAAGCAGCAGGAGCCTCTGCGCAGATTTCGTCGGCCTTCGGGCAGCCTTGGCCATGTGCGCACCCTCAGCCAGAAAGCCCTATAACCCTAAACCCTAAACCCTGAGATATAAAGCCCTAGAACCCTAAACCCTTAACCCTAAACCCCATAACGCCTCTCTTTCCAGGAGAAGATCCGACTGCTGGAAGAGCAGAACGTGCAGTTCCAGCAGGAGATTGAAGAGGCGCTGATGTCTGACAAGACACAGGACTGCCCGAAACGTTCTGAATGTTTCAAATCTTGCATGCCCCCCCAAACCCTTGAAGCGCCCAAACCCTTTCAAGCGCCCAAACGCCTGAGCCCCATATTAGGGGGCTCGGAATCATTGCTAGCAGCATGCCCTTATGGTCCCTACCATAATGTCTACAAGAACCCCCCCCCAAAAAAAAAAAACACTTTTGCAAATTCTTCTGAAGGCCCCCCCTATACACCCTAAACCCTGGACCCTAAACCCTAAGCCCTAAACCCTTTTAAGCTGAGAGGAGCTCCGGCAGCTGCGCGAGAAGGTCGCGCAGGTGCAGGCCTACTTCGGGGGCGACCGCGCGCGGATGCTCCTGGGCCGAGCCTGAGGGCGGCTTGGGGGTTTAGGGTTTAGGGTTTAGGGTTTGGGGTTTTTTGGGTCCGTAGATTGGGATGTTCCCCCTTCTACGAACAGTCCTTAGTAGGGACTGTAGTACCCTCTACTATCATCCTTATAAAGGACTGTGAGTATAAGGGGGAGCATCCCAATCTACAGAGTCTAAATTGTAGTTCTTGAGGGCTTGTAATGAAGGTTGATAGGGCACGGGGTCGTCTTTCGGGGTTTCTGGGTGGAGGTTTTGCCTCCTGCGCCAGTGTACCCGAGGCTTCTGGCCACGCTGGGCGAGATGCCGGCTCAGGTGCGGAGGGCTGGGCTTAGGGTTTAGGGTTTAGGGTTTAGGGTTTAGGGTTTAGGGTTCAGGGTTCAGGGTTCAGGGTTTAGGGTTTAGGGTTTAGGGTTTAGGGTTTAGGGTTTAGGGTTAGGGTTTAGGGTTTAGGGTTTAGGGTTTAGGGCTTGGACTTTGGGCTTTCGCCCCTTACAATGCCTCAACATGCAAAGCAATCTCGCACCAAACTTGAAAGGGTCGAAAGCTTAAGGGTTTGGAGGTTCACGGCTTAAGGGGCTTGAGAGGTTGAGGGCGGGGGGGGTGCTCGACATCTTGGGTCCTTAGGGCGCAAATGGCCCCAGAGTGCTCAGAGCCTCAGAGCACCCAAACCAAACAAACAAGAAATGCATGTCAATCCGACAGGCCCGATAATCTCACAAAATAATCATCGAAGGTTCAGAAATCAAGGGCCCACCTTACGAAATACTTCTTTCAAGAATTCCAACGGTTGCCTGCCAGCGGAACTCTTAAAAGTTACGGGCCCTTCCTATGCACTAAGACGGAATAAGATGGCTCCATAGAGTTCCCTTGAAAGATCTGCGTTGCTGTAGAGGTGTAGCCCTAGCAGGCAGGGTTTGGGGTTTTGTGGCCGGTCCGATCCTCCTAGCGATGGTCATGGTCTGACGTGCATGTGGCGATTAAGGGTTTCGTATGCCTTGCAGATAGTGGCTCAAACTGCTTTCTATGGTCTCTGACAGAGGATCTGAAGCACTGAGGTGGGCCAAGTCTTCAAACCACCCCCCATGACAGCTTCCCCCCCCCATCTCCAAGCCGCAATACGCCCAAATCCATACCGCAGGGGATTCTGAGCCCGAAGCCCCTGCTCCCTTGACCCGTAAACCTTAAAATTGAACCCTCAACCCACAAAGTCCAGAGCCTTCTACGCCCAAAAACCCAAAACCCGAAGCTCTAAACCCACAAGGTCCACAGCCTCGGGGAGGGAGACCGCGAGCTGGACCTGGCAACCCAGTCCCAGGGCGCACCTGGGACTGAACAGGCAGGGTTCGGGGTTTTGGGGTTTAGATTTGGGGTTTAGGGCTTCAAGGTTTATGTTGGGCGTTTAGGGTTTTGGTGGTTTTGGTTTTGGGGTTTTGGGGGCTTTGGGGGGGGGGGGGGGTTTGGGCTCAAAAGAAAGGTCTACAACCGAGGAGCCCCGAGGGTACTTGGAGGTTCATGGTAGTTAGTAACCAATTATAACTGTACTTTTTACCCAAATTATTACTTTTTTAGGGCACTTAAGGGGCTTATAAGTACAGTTATAGGTACAGTTATAGTTGGTTAATAAGTACCATGAACCTTCAAGTAGGCTAGCACACCCTTTCCAATCGACTCATGGACGACCCGATGGCTGCCGTTCGGGCCTTCTCCGTCTCGTCCGGTCTCCCGATCCCATGAGCTTCGAAACGGTAGGAGGATGAACGCTGAACGGTGCAACAGATGCTGTATCATGCCTTGCAGGACTCCAGGGGTTATCAACCGCATCATCTACAGAACCTCCATGCCAGTCATCACGCCCACTCTCAAGCCATGCCGCAGTGAGGCTTTTGCCTGAAACCCTGAACTGACAAGGTTCACAGCCTTCTAAGCCCTAAATCGTATAAGCCCTAAACCCTAAACCCACAAGGCTCACAGCCTCGGGGAGGGAGACCGCGAGCTGGACCTGGCAACCCAGCCCCAGGGCGCACCTGGGACTGAACAGGCAGGGTTCGGGGTTTGTGGCTTAGGCCTTGAGGTTTTTTGACTTGGGTTTAGGGTTGGGTTTTCGGGGTGTGGGGGCTCAAGGTGTGGGTTGAGAGTTTAAGGTTTAGATTTGGGCTTTTGGGGTGTTTGGGTTTTGGGGGTGGTTGGGTTTGGGGGGTTTAGTCTAGATTTTTTGGCAACATAGCCATCAGAATGGTCATAAGTCCCCCCCCCCCCGCCCAACAAGAAAAGTCTCAGCTTCGGCGGGTTTAGGGCTTCTACCTTGGGGTTCAGGGTTTACCCCCCTAAGCCTTGGGGCTTCTTGCACTTTGGTTTTTGTTAACCCCCTGAAAGCACCGGCTGGCTTTGGAGTCTGAAAAGAAACGTACCTCAAACCCTACAGAAGGGTTTAGGGTTTAGGGTTTAGGGTTTAGGGTTTAGGGTTTAGGGTTTAGGGTTTAGGGTTTAGGGTATGTATTTCAAGAGCGTTCCTCGACTCAGCTAGTTTGAAATATCTGGGTCGGAGCCCCTGAGAGCTTTAGGTCTTGTGAAGCTGCGCACGGGGGTGTACGGTTTAGGGTTTAGGGTTTAGGAGACCGTGAACCCTGAACCCTAAACCCTGAACCCTGAACCCTAAACCCTAAACCCTGAACCCTGAACCCTAAACCCTACACCCTACACCCTAAACCCTAAACCCTGAACCCTGAACCCTAAACCCTAAACCCTAAACCCTAAACCCTAAACCCTAAACCCTAAGCCCTAAGCCCTAAACCCTAAACCCTAAACCCTAAACCCCAACCCTACACTGGAAGAGTCGAGAGCCACTCCCGCTCCTGCACAGGAGGAGCCACCACCCTGGAAGAGGCGCAGGAGAGACCGAGATCCCCCCGGGCCCTTCATCGCCAAGGAGGCAGCCCGAAGTAGGGTTTAGGGTTTAGGGTTTAGGGTTTAGGGCTTAGGGCTTAGGGCTTCGGGCTTAGGGAGTTTCGGAGGTCAGAATGCGAGATAGAGTTTAGGGTGTGAAGTTTAGGGTAGGGGGTTGGGGGGTTAGGGCTTCGGGCTTATGTCTTCGGGCTTAGGGCTTACATGCCAGAAGCTTCTTTGCATTGGGCGACTAAGTTACCGTGTGTTGCAGGGAGAGCAGGGCTGACGCCTGCGTCCGGGAGCTTCGGTCGGCTTGTACACAGACCATTGGTTTAGAACCCTGGTCTCTTCGGGCTTCGGGGTTTGTGCCCCCCCCTCCCCCCCCACCCGCAGGGTGGAACCCAACCGCAAGAAACTCTAGGAAGTCCAGCGGTGTGCCCCTGCCTCTTCATTGCTTCTAGGCAGCTTCTAGGGTTCCAAGACTCCTCATGGACAGCAGAAAGATGTGAAGCTGCCTGCCAAACATCCCAGAACCCCAGCATAGCCCCAAGCACCCCGAAGGCCCTCAAAAGCCCCAAAACCCCGACAACCCTCTTAGACCCTTTAAACCCTGAGGCCCTAAACCCTGACACCCTTCGACCCTAAAACCCCAAACCCTCAATCCCCCCAAAATGCCTTGGCAACTTGCGGCATCTTGCGGCGCAGGCGGCTGCTCCTGTGGAGGCGGAGGCCTTTGGGGGCTGGGGGACATCTGGGCAAGGTACTCTTAGCAGCTGTGATCCCAAAACCCTGCAGAACACCTCGAGAGCCCTGCCCCAAACCCTATAAACCCTAAACCTGAAACCCCAAGGCCTGCACCCCCCCCCCAAGTCTGAGGCTCCGAAGCCGCTTCCGCGGCCGAAGAAGGATAAGAAGGCGAAGCCTTCAGAGAAGCCGACTGGGGAGCTGGGACGGCCAGCTGGATGCAGTAAGCCAACATGGGACTCAAGTTGCCACACGCGTCTTTTTTGTTTAAGGAGGTTTGTGTTTAGGGTTTCGAAGCCCAAGATTCTCAGAAGGGAGTGGGGGGTGTTGGGGGTGTTGGGGCTGAAGGCTTCAATGAAGGATTGGGCGGATATCAAGCGTTCGTGCTTCGAGTGCAGCGACGCCGAAGTTGTCGTGTGTCAAGTGCCGAGGCAAAACTTGCTCGTGGCAAAAGCCAAAGCACGCAAGAAGCCGTTGCCCACGCCAAGTTGCCAGACCCTTTGACCGCAAACAGTGGCAAAGCTTTGGGAGCCTAGGGTTAACAAAGCAGTAGACGGCTGGCATAATGATATGCAATGAGTATATTAACGATTTTCCTTCATCTTCCTTCATCGGGAGGTGGGATTGACAGAGTTGGACGCGGACCCAACCCCCCCCCCCCCTTCCCGCACTGTTGTCCCACGCCTCCCTGCCCCTCCATCGCTACCACACCCATGCACCCAGCCACGTGCCCACCCGCCCCACACCCGCAGACCTGCTTCAACCTCGCGCCCACCCACACCAGCACCCATCCACCCACACGCTCGCGCACGTCCAACACTGCATGGCAGGACACCCCCATCCAAAATGTACACCCACCCCCCCCACGCCCGTCCACACACCCGCCAACAGGCCCCAAGCACTCACCCACACGCGCATCCCCCAACCCCCTGCACAGCAAAGTCCTCAGGATCCGAGGTTGTGGAAGTGCTACTTTGCTCAATGTCAAGGACTTGTGGCTTTAGACCCTGTTGAGGTAAAGCCGCCCAAGGAATGAATATAACAACCTTTGAAATACGGAGCTGGGTTTCGAGAATCAGAACGGAACCTTGTAGAAATTCACATAAAGCACGCGTGCGCAATTGTGACGCTGTCAGCGGCCCCATAGGCAAACCATGGCAAACCCCCAAACCTCCTTTCAAACTCCTGAACTCTGAAACCTGAAACCTCAAACCCACCCAAACCCTAATCCTTAAGCCCAAGAACCCCTAAACCCTAAGCGTGACATGCGCGGCGCTCAGGATCCTTGATGCCAAGATACTTGTTGACGACGACGCCCAGGCCGTGCCACGCCTTTGAGACCTGGGCGTTTCGGGTTTGGGGTTTTGGTTTTGAAGGGCTTTGGTTTGGGGTTTAGGGTTTTGGGGTTTTGGGGCTTCTAAGGAGTTTAGGCTCTGTAAGGTTTAGGTTTCAGGAGGTTGGGGTCTACAAGGTTTAGAGAAAGGAGTTTAGGGTCCAAAGGTTAGGGTTTAGGAGCTTCACACCAGGTTTAGGGTTTAGGGTTTAGGCACAAACCACACGCCCAAACACATGGTGGCTTAGAAGATAACAAGAGCCGGAATGCACCATTTTGCAACTTTCAAGGGTTTGTTGTTTAATTAGGGTTTAGGGTTTAGAGTTGTAATGGTCGAGTAATAGAGAGACGGGCACAATTTAGATCAACCCTGCCTGCAAGGGATTTTGCTTCACGCTCTTCAGCTTTCAATTGCACCGAAGGTTGTACGTGTCAGGCACCTATTTCCTCAAGCCTGAAAACTGCCCCAAGATTCGCACGCAGATCTTCTGTCTGGGTACTGCCAGGGTTCAGTTCAGGGCTTAGCAGTTTTGGGCTTATAGGAGGTGTCGTGCTCAGATGAAGATGAGGGCCCTGCACCTCATAAAACCCTCAGCCCAAAGCCCAGGCGCCGCAGGACATCTCCGATGGCGAGCAGACTCAGCCGCCATCCCCCTCTCCACCATCAGACGTGGGTTGACGATCTCAGCTAATGTAGGGGTCGGAATAATTTCTAGTAGTATTCCCTTATAAGGCTTTCAGTGTATTCAAGCATCCTCGGGTGCCTAACATGTTCGGCAACCACGGTGGGAATGTGCTGGCTGAATCAAGCCGCCACGTTGAAGGAGAGTTTGCCAGAAGGTCCAGGCTGCAAGCGCAAAAAACCCCAAATGAGGAGTAATGTAGGGGTCGGAACAATTGCAAATAGAATTCCCTTATGGCCTCTAGGTAACTTTACTATAAGAACCCCCAAAACCCCTGTCTAAGGTTTAGGGTTTAGGGTTTAGGGCTTAGGGCTTAGGGTTCCCTCTTCTGACCATGAAAGCCCCTACATTATCCTAGTTCCTCTCAGTGCAGGACAGAGGCCTCCGCGACCCTGAGCCCTAACTTCCGCACCCCGACTCCTGAACCCCCCACCCCCCTAATATACTAGAGGCCTGAATTATTCGAGGAGGGTTTTGGGGGGGTTCTTCTAGTATAATTTTCCAGGGACCCTAAGGGAATATTATTAGTAATGATTCCGACCCCTATATATTGGCTAGGTAGGCCCTTGCGACATGTCATATTTTCCGGCATTGGGTTGCAGAGGATCATGTTCAAGAGAATTTTTTCAGAGGTTTTTTAAGGGCCATCCTAGCTACAACCCGATAAGCCCTGAACCCGAGTTCATGCGTTTGAAACCCCTCAACGTAAGCTAGGGGTCGGAAGTATTGCTGATACTATTCCCTTCGGGTCCCTTTATAAGAATACTCTATAATAACCCCCCAAAACCCTATTCTAATTCTTCAGGCCCCTACACTAGATCCCGACCCCTGATCCTGTTACCCCTAAACCCTAAACCCTAAACTACAATAGTCTTGGCCGCGCTCCAACAAATTCCCGGACCTGGTGGCGATGATACTGCGCCCTGTGGGGCCCAGTCGACACCTTGTGGCATGAACCTGCTGAGTTTGGGTTTTAGGGTTTAGGGGATTAGGGTTTAGGGGTTAGGGCGTGGGTTTAGGGTTTAGGGTTTAGGGTTTAGGGTTAGGGTCTGGCAGCAAAGTCAAAGCACGTGCCGTCTACTAGTCTTATGAATTAGGATTGAATGGGTTTCGGCCAATTCAAGGCAATTGCCGCTCTAAGTGGCATGTATACACCAGATAGCTCAAGCGAGAGATCCCCAGAAAGCCCGAGTCTCGGATGCAGGATCTACATCATTACCGATATCATCCTGCTCTATCCACTACCTACCTAAGGACCTGAGCTACCCGACCTAACTCAGCAGGCTCCTTTCAATCTAGGGTTCAGCAAGCAGGTTCCGCCTCCTTGTCCGCAACAATACCGTAGGCCTGAGTGACGCTGGAACCCATCTGCCGATGTACCGGTACGCACGGCCTATCGTCCGAAAGACTACAGAAGGGTCCATGCACCCAACCTGAACCCCAAACCCGAAAACCTAAAACTATAAGCCTTGCATCCTGTGGGTGTGTGTGTGTGTGTGTATCTATATTCTACATACATAGGTACTTTCTACGACTGTTGTACATCAATATAGGCGCATGGTGCCCTGAGGCCCTGACGGTAGGCTTCAGGCCTTCAGGCTCGGGAAATAGATTGTTCTGGCCGGGGAGGGCGGGGGTGGGTGGGGGGGGGGGGGGGGGCCGGGGGGTTGATCACCCCCAGCCCCCGTAAGTGTGCGCAGAGCTCACGAGCTTCCTCAGTCGGAAGGTTTTGGGTGTTTAGGGTTCAGATCTCAGAGGCTAAGAGTTAGAAGGCAGGGAGCTCATGAAGTTCAGGGTTTAGGGTTCAGGGCTCAGGGTTCATGAATTTTGAAACCTTAGCCTGTATGCTTGGCAAGGCTAGGAAAGACTTCTTCAAAGCCCGGCTAGGGCCTTGCGGATGGGCCTCGTTGCTGCAGGATCACCTTTTTTATGCGGGGTGTGTCCCCGTGCAAGAAATAGCTTGAAAGCCCATCAGGTCAAGTGCTTTGGCCGAGGGAAAAACGACAGTGACTTTGGTGGCGTTTTGTCACCTCGAGGAGAGAAATGGAGCTGGCAGACATGGCTCTTATACTAGCAGCCCTTGATAGGGATTATAGCACCCCTATTCGAATCCCTGTTAAGGACTGTTAGTATAGGGGGGGGAACCGGAGGGTTTGGGCATGTCCGTGGGTCCGGGCCCAGGCTGCGATAACCGAAAGGGTTTAGGGTTTAGGGTTTAGGGTTTAGGGTTTAGGGTTTAGGGTATCTCCCTGCAGCACCCCGCACCCCCCTCCCCAAGCCCCCGAGGTCCTTCCTTCAGGACCCCAAGCCCATCTTTTTGCTAAGCTACGGTTATGAAGCCCTTCTCATAGAATTCTGAGGAGCAAACCTGCCTTAAAAGGATCTTAGAAGGTTGGGAGGCACGCGGCAGCCTTTTTCCCTGGGGTTGAGGCTTTACACAACCCCCGGGGCCTAACCTAAGCCCAAGGTCCTAAACCCTCAGCCCTAAACCCTAAACAGTATAAAGGGGAACATCCCAGCCTAAACCCCAAGCCCTGAACCCAAGGTCCTACACCCCAAAAGAGGGGTCGGAATAGTTTCTATTAGTCTTCCTGTCTGGTCCCATTACTACAATCACCCCCCCCCCCCCAAACCTTGTTTGCATTATTAAGGCCCCTATCTCAAGCCCTGAGCCCGAAACCCTCAACCCTCAACCCTCAACCCTAAACCCTAAAGGTCCAGTACCCTATCGACCATTGGAGCTTCTACGTGGCCTTTGCCTGCTTCCGACTGGCGGCCGCTGATCTGCAGGGTGTGTCTTTTTTTTTTTTTCGGGTAGGGTTTGGGGTTTAGGGTTTAGGGTTTAGGGTTTAGGGTTTAGGGTTTAGGGTTTAGGGTTTAGGGTTTAGGGTTTAGGGTTTAGGGTTTAGGGTTTAGGGTTTGAAGGAGTTAGAGGCTTCTGGGTCAGGATGTGGGGGTTGCAGTGTCCAAGGGCTTCGGGGGTGGATTTTGAGGCCTCGGGTTTCGGGGACTTCAAGGGTTCGGTATTTCGAGATATCTCAGATTAGTCAGGCTTTAGGGTTTAGGGTTCATTTTTCAAGGGTTCGGGATTTAGGGTGTATACAAACCCTAAGTCTTAAACCCTAAGCCCCTTCGGGTTTTTAGGGATTGCCCAGTACACCCTAGGCCTCCCCCCCAGCTCCGCCTACGACACGCGCGCTGAGGTCATCATCCAGGGCGTGGCCATGAGGCCGGGGCTTTGGGCATCTCTAGAGTTTTTAGAGGGGTTTATAGGGTTTATAGGGGTCTGAAATAGACACAGGGACAGGCAGACGAGAAGCAAGCGAGACCGAGAGAGAGAGAGAGAGAGATGGCTTGCAATCATGTTCGTTTCGTGTTTTCACACCCCAAAGGCGGAGTGTCTTTCACCCTGTACTGTTGCTCGCTGGACGCCCCCCCCCCCCCGACACCAAGAGACTTATGCTCATGCAAAAAGTGCAAGAGACGTCTATTCTCAAAAACACCAATTCATCCAAGTATACCGAGATCATGTATCAAAGCAGAGAGAAAGAAGGCTCATACTTCTCCCACCACTATAAAATACAATAATCTGAAATTGAATCTAAGAGCCAATCCCTCCATTCGAATAAATCAAAAACAACTAGCCCAAACAGTTCGAAAAAATGAAATCGGAATCCATGATGAGATTGCTCAAAGCACAACGAAAGAACGAATCAAGAGCAGGGCCTTCCAGCAAAGAAACGAATCGAATACACCCGCCACCACCCCGAATTCACCAGAAGGCACGGCGCAACCGAAGGATAAAAAAGAGAAGAGCAATCGCACTCGACCCTAAACCCTAAACCCTAAACCCTGAATCGTCCAGATATGAAACCAATCCCAGGGTCGTCAATTTTTACGCATCAAGTTGCGGAGACACCGCGCTTCTAGAACTGTCTTAGGAATCCCATCCGAATTCGAACTCCTGATGAAGCATATATTTTAATGGAGTTGAACAGAGAGAGAGAGAGAGAGAGATATAGAGAGAGAGAGAGAGGGAGAGGGAGAGAGAGAGCGAGTGTTGTCGACGCAACCTGTGGCGCAGCTTTGGGGTTGAAGGTGCTTCCTGAAACTCCATAGGATGTTCATCGATACTTCTAGAACCACGGTTTCTGGTTGGATGGAACATTGCCTGAGATGCAGCGGTTGAGCTTTCAATGAGCTTTGATACCCACTAGACCCTAATTAAACCTTCCGAGCCTATGTCAGATCGACAGAGCCCAGGGCTCTCGCGACATCTAGCTCAATTGAAATCAGGGAAGCCAGAAACCTCACCTAGAGGCGTACACCCTACCCCCCTTCCTGGCACTTAACTCCCTCATCCTTTAACCCTAGGGGAAGCGAAAGCTACCCCCCCGGATGCTGGCGGCTTTTTGAGGCTCTTTGCTTATAGACACCTTCTTTTGGCCTGCCTAGAACACTCGCTTAACCCACTGGTTCTTGGTAGGGAAGCAGGCATTTAGGCCACCCCACCTTTGTATATATGTATATATATATATAGATAGCCTTTAAGAGATGCTATAGGGTACCTCATTCCCCCTCCTTGCCTACTAATAACCAGGTTAAACCCGAACCAAACGTCAAATCCCAAACCGTCAACCCTTAGACACAAAGCCCTAACCCGAAACCCTTAAACCCAAAACCACTAAACTCCCATACTGTACATAGGTGCAGAATCGCGGAGGAATTGGGGGGGGGGCCTGGTTAAGGGCCGAGAGATTTCCCAGGGTGGCCAAGGGCTCTGCAAGCGCGGCCCATGGAGATGTCGGGGGCTTAGGGTTTAGGGTTTGAGGTTTGGGGTTTAGGGTTTAGGGTGGGGCTTAGGGTTTAGAGTTTAGGGTTTGGTTTTTGGAGTTTAGGGTTTAGGGAGGCTGTTTTGGGGCTCACCTGGGGCTGTTGCAACCCTAACACCCTGGTTGATGCCGAGCATTGAGGGGCGAAAACACGTAGGCGATTT